ATTTTCTAACTGCTAGGGTCTGAACAAGCACTGGGTGAGAGGTAATAACAGCTAATAGTATCCAGCACTACTACGTATATCGACCCACTTGATTCTCAGTGTTCCCTTGAAAAGTACTCCTGTTATCCCCATTATATAGAGGAAGAAACGGAGGCACAAAGAACGTAAGTATCTTGCTTATTTGAATGCAGACAGCCTGGTTCCATGGTCCATGGTCTTAACCACTGTCTGTTTGACTGTAGTGGCAAACGACTTCCCTGCCTTCAGGCCATCCTACCTGCCCTTCATTACCTACACAGTTGAACAGAGATCCTGACATTCTTCCTGTCCCAATTTATACACCTTTTGTCCCTACCAAACTGAACTGGGCAGTACTAGATTTTACATGTTTTTATATCCTCTGCCAAGCCTAAGAGAGGGCCTAGAACATAGCTGGAGCTTATTAGATGCCTGTTGATTTGAGCAAGCTATTGTGCTATGTGACACAATGATGTCTTGAAAGAAGCTATTGCTTTTTGAGTTGCTTGAATCATCCTTTCAAGTCTTTCTGCCTTGGTTACCCCTTCTTACTGCCATCTCTGCACTGTCCATCCTTCTAATTTGCTGCTGCTAAACCAGCAAGGCTGAGGAATCATAAAACCAGTCACATGGGATTTGGTTCCAAAAACAAAAGATAATTGGCTCTGAGCGAACAAAGCCTTAGTGGCTCTCAAGAATCATAAGCATGGGCTTTAGGGCATGAACTTTGTGGTGAGGTAAAGACCCTTCAGAGCTGGGTTTTTTCTTGTGTTGATTTTCAGTTGTTTTGAAGAGCCGGGGCAACAACTAAGACACTCCTTGAGTGTTGATGTTTCTTTGGAATTTTAAAATTTGACTTGATTGATTTTGCTGAGCTAAACAGGGAGTGGGTGTGAGTGCTTTGCCGTGCCTTTGTATTACTGTAGTCATTGTACCTTAATCTTCTTCAGAGCTGGCCAGTTCCTACTCATCCTTGAAGACTTGGCACAAAGGGGCCGGCCCGGTGGCGCACTGATACAGTGTGCCGCTTGGGAGCGCCGCGGCGCTCCTGCCGAGGGTTCGGATCCCACATACAGACCGGCCGCTCACTGGCTGAGCGAGGCGCGGGAGCAACACCGAGGGTTGCGGTCCCGTTGCCGGTCCTGTTCCAGTATG